GGGAGAAGAGGGGGGTGAACAAAAATGAACAAGTATGTACACGTTCGACGGCTGCACCTGTCGGAATGACGTTGTTCGCCCCGAACGAAATGTATAGTTTGTTATAGTGATTATAGTGATTATAGTGATGTGAAGTTACTGATACAATGTTGATTTGAAGTTACTGTTGCAGCCAAGACTGTAAATTACTTGCAGTCGTGTGATGATATTAATGTGAATACTGTGACTAGTGGACATGTTCGGGAAAGCACATGTGAGAAAAAAAATATATATGCGAGAAAGTATACATATGTGTTTTCTCCATGAAAGTATGTGTGCTAATAAACCAATAACCGTCTCAAGTGTCAAGGTGTCTGTTTTATGCTATTAAACTGCGTGCTTTGATTGACACGGTTGCGGAAATCCAATTAATTAGCGACTTAGCGCTTAAAATAACACGGGGCAGTAATGTGCAGGTTACTGTAGAGCAATTAAATGGTGATATGGTGAGTAGCATTAATGGTGAAAGTGACAATATATTAGGTATTGTTTACTTAGCGCTCTCTGTCCCAGGTGTCCCTGTGTTCAATGTGTTGTAGTACGTTTGTTGCAGTACGTGGAGATGACATGTAATGCTGTTTTATTTTAGGAACAATTTTTTAATCGAAGACAAATATATCTCCTAATCCTGACCCATGTATACAGTCTGTTCAGAATGTTCAAGACGAGGCACGTTCAGCGACCAAATTGACATTATTTAATGCAAAGAAATGTTCCAGCTCATTTTGGGCAAACGACATTTTTATTGGATCAATAGTGCCTGATAGTAGTCAGACGATGACCAAGAGTCAGATTGACTAAATGATAACCTGGATAGGCATAGTAACTTTAGGCTGCGTTATTGGCTTATTATCGTTATTATTCGACTATTGAAATTCAAAATAACGATCCTATAAACTCAGCCGTCAGGAGAAATGTTTTAAATAAGAGACCGTACCCGCAAAGCTCTGGACAGGTGAAGCACTTGAGCCATTCAAATGTAAAGGCATGTTCATTTCGTGTCATTTACAATATACTTGTTATCGATAGAAACCGAAAGTCAGTTCCTGTAGTTCCATTTTTGTTTTCAACCTCAAAGATTGTTAAAGCTCATGAATCTTTTGCTCAAGTTGGCAAACGCAAACTTATTAATTTACTGTCTAACCAAATTTCTCTCCCGTTGTTAAATAAGGTAGCTGCCGACATGTGTTTCACTTGTAATATTTGCCAACTGTATATAAACTATAAAGTATCTGCAAGCATATTTCCATTTGATTTAGTGGCCATGGACATCATGCATGCAGTTGCCGAAGTCATCAAAAGGCTTTGTAGCCATTCTAAAACTCGTAGATAATTTTTCTATATTTTTATCTACGGTTGCTTTGAAAGATAAGAAAGCGACTTCTGTTGCACAAGAGCTAACCGAACAGGTTAGCTCTTTTGCACTCTCGTTGTGCAAATTTTGCTGCGTTTACTTGGATTCTTCAGAAGTGATCTGAATTGTTCAGTTTAATGAAAAAAATTCTTGTGAATAGTTGAATTTTACAGTTTATCGTGTAATCCAAGAGAGTCTGCTTGCGTTAATGTGTTTATAGATTCTCAACAAGCTTCCTTCTTTTATGTGTTGTTATGCGTCACAATTACCTCAGCCAAATTTCCCTCAGTCCCATTTCCCTCAGTCCCGTTTCCCTCAGTCCCGTTTCCCTCAGTCCCGTTTCCCTCAGTCCCGTTTCCCTCAGTCCCGTTTCCCTCAGTCCCATTTCCCTCAGTCACGTTTCCTTCAGTAACATTCACCATAATAACGTAAAGAATCCTTAATAAGAATGCATGATAAAAAGTTATGTTAACTAAGAAGATTCACGCGCATTCTGTTTTGAACTTCCCCTCAACTCCAACTTGGAACTTTCAAGCGATGTTTACTTTTAATTAAATATCGCTAATTACATATATAATTAAATTATAATAAAATTTACAATACGGAATGACCGTGCGCCGCCACGAGGCGTCTCGAGGGCAGGGAGCTCAATTATGCAGGCCTTCACGGACAATAATTGATTTCTATATTTCATCACAATGATTGATCATCATATTTCTCTTAGTATCTGGTCATCATATTCTATCAAAATAATTAAATTAATAAATTAAGAATTTGCCAGTTAATGAGAAGAATAAATTTGTTTGCTATTTTTGGCTAGAAGTGACGACACGAATAATTTACGAGAAAATATGCATCTGTCTAGAAGTTTGAGGACAGGATTGCCCTAGCTTTAAACTGATCAAAACTCAATTGAGTTATATAAAAATACAGTACATATCAACACCCGATAACGCGCACAAAGGCTCACTATTTTATTTAAACACAACAAATGCCATAAAACATGACAATAACGGTAGAAAGTTATGCTATAGCAATGATATGTGCATCATTTAATACCCCAGTCTATGGTCCCCTCCCCGGCCAGCCCCCACCCTCACACAACCCACCCCTTNTGACAGCAGCGGGGCACCCGTGACAGCAGCGGGGCACCCGTGACAGCAGCGGGGCACCCGTGACAGCAGCGGGCCACCCGTGACAGCAGCGGGCCACCCATGACAGCAGCGGGCCACCCGTGACAGCAGTGGGGTACCCGTGACAGCAGCGGGGCACCCGTGACAGCAGCGGGGCACCCGTGACAGCAGCGGGGCACCCGTGATAGCACTGCAGTTCATGACGGTTTCATTGCACCAAATTCCTAAACAAATTTCTTAACAATCACAGCGGAAATATTAAATAATTGCACTCCAGCCCAATTATCTCACTAACATCACAGTTATTATGCACACTAATTAAGAGTTTCTATATTTGCCACTTGTGTCTAATTTTGCACAAATCTTACCAAGAGTTGGCAGTACGTAAGGTTTTTTTTTTTGTTATAGTAGAATGGATTGCCCGAAATCCATGAAACAATGGATAATTAAACTGGAACTGAAGACTGTAATGATGGGGGTTATCAGTCTCCTTATCAGGGAGGTAATTACTTGGGGTGTGATTATTACTGATCAAACGTCGCGTGAGCTCTGATAACCATCGCTGTGATGGTCTATAATTAGCGTAATTTGTGGCAGCTGCAGGAATGCTATTGATGTATTTTGTCGCTTCATACATAACTTATACATACCTGTTTGCCGCATAACTCATGTATCACTGCTTGATTAATACAGATTTTGTCGTATAACTTATACATACCTGTTTGCCGCATAACTCATGTATCACTGCTGGATTAATACACAACTAATAGTGAACTGAACTCGGTTCACTTAGGCGCCACGAACTGATTTCAGTTCAGGCGATCAACAATTATTCCTTTGATGTTTCAGAGCGACATAACTCTGGTGATGGAATCAATAACTGTTGACTTAATCGTTGACCCACCATAGTAAGTTGATTTTGCGGCGCGTTGTCATATGTTGACATCATATGTTGACATATTCTTACTAAATTGTAAATTATCGTTGATCTGAATCTCATTTGTCACATCAGTCGGAATTCTGTCACTGAAAATCTTGTCACTACAAATCCTTCCAATGATTGATAATTTATAAACTAACGAATATTGTTTAAAGAAAAACTTGCTGACCCTAACATTCAACAAAGAACTTTATTGAACTCCTATTTAGAATTTATAAGCAAATTTTTTATTTTCAGCTACAGGAGACAGATGGATTCCATCAAAATCACTAATAAAAATTATTGTGTATACGCGCTCTAACATCCCTTATATATTCACGGTGCTATGCAACAAAAACTCACTGAAAATCTGTAATATATTGAAAATAAATACAGCTTCTATAGACTCGGCAGCTGAGGAAATACGAGACAGTTTGCCTCGAGACCACACAACACAAATGACGAAATAGATGAGGAAACATGCCTTATTTCTTTAACGCGCGATATCTTCTAACATGTATCACGTTGAACTATAACATGCTTGAAAATGTACCGTGCTGAACTGTTACATGATGTAACCTGTAACGCGTAGCATGTTGTACCATGTACCGCGTTGAGCTGTAACATGTCCCATGTACCGCATTGAGCTGTAACATGTCCCATGTACCGCATTGAACTGTAACATGTCCCATGTACCGCATTGAACTGTAACATGTCCCATGTACCGCGTTGAGCTGTAACATGTACCGCGTTGAACTGTAACATGTTGCACCATGTACCGCTTAGAACTACAGATTCATCAATATAACCTACACCCGAGAAGCCGCTCCTCGAGTAGCGCCAGCGCTGTGGCGCCGGACGCCACAGCGCCGTGGCGCGTGTTGTGGCGCCGGACGCCACAGCCGCCACAACAGCGGTCGTTAGCGGCGACAGTGGCGGCTTCCTTCACGCTCAACTGTCATCATTTGCATATAATCAAGATAGTGTATCTGCCGGCACTCATACAGTCATACAGAACACAGGTATACAGATGAATAGATGCTTTACAGCTTATACAACGATCCATGCCACGCCTCTCACACTTAGAACGTATACGTTAAATACGGACATACAGAGATATACAGAGGCATACAGAGAACATACAGAAATATACAGACATACAGAGGCATTCAAAGATATACAGATATGTGGTGGGGGCATCACAGAGACTTACAGACATAAAGAGAAAATACAGAGACATACAGACATATAGAGAACATACAGAAGCTGAGAAGCATACAGAGACAAAGAGACGTACAGAGACATACAGACACACAGAGGCATACAGAAAAGACATAGAGAGAACATAAAGAGACATACATAAAGATAAGATATACTACAGAGACATACCGGTACAGAAATAGAGAGAACATACAGAGACATACAGACATACACAGACATACAGATCGGAGGTTGTCTGAGTGTTATAGGTTGTGTGCACGTGGCAATGCTTGTGTGTTTTGTGTGTGTTGTATTCTTGTGTGTATGAGCTTATCTGTGTATTGAGTTGTTACATTCATGTGTAGTTGGTGAATGAAGATAGAGGTGATGAGTGATGAAGGTGATGGATGAAGGAGGTGATGAGTGATGGAGGTGATGAGTGATGGAGGTGATGAGTGATGGAGGTGATGAGTGATGGAGGTGATGAGTGATGGAGGTGATGAGTGAAAGTGATGAAGGTGATGAGTGATGGAGGTGATGAAGGTGATGGGTGATGAAGGTGATGAGTGATGAAGGTGATGAGTGATGAAGGTGATGGGTGATGAAGGTGATGGGTGATGAAGGTGATGGGTGATGGAGGTGATGAGTGATGAAGGTGATGAGTGATGGAGGTGATGAGTGATGAAGGTGATGAGTGATGGAGGTGATGGGAGTAATGGCACATCACCCACCTGGGTGGGGAGGGGGGGCGGTATCACCCACCTGGGTGGGGCGCAGGGTGTGCTGGCGTCCGTGGGGGCGGAGGGTCCAGTCCGACGACAGCCTCACACCCGACCACCGTCCACGCGATTATCGTCACTGCCACGCGATTATCGTCACTGCCACGCGATTATCTTCACTGCCACGCGATTATCTTCACTGCCACGCGATTATCTTCACTGCCACGCGATTATCTTCACTGTTACTTGATTATCGCCCGTGCAACTTCACCACAAATCATTATAATCATCGCAATACATGCACGGTAATCGACAGAGCACAAAAAATATAATAGTTATATGATAAATTATTTCCAACCAACACTTGATTATCAGTAATCAGCCGCGATTAACCCAAGCATCTCACCATGCAATTAACCACTTCACTGTTCCATCACAGCAGACATATCACGTTATAATCGTTATAATCGTGCACAATGGCCGATCATCAACCCTCGATAATCGCACGCATGGAGCCATTAATCGGGACAATAGGTTACTATAATTTATTTATTTATTTATAATTCAGATATTTATTCAATTTAATTTGACTTCTTTCGCAAGTAAAATTATGGGGAATTTACGTGACAATTTCAACATCATTTCAACCTGAAAATAACGAACATTTTAAAATTTTGAATACAAGGAAGATTAATTTAGGAGCTATACAGTCACGGCGACCATCACAAGTTGTCTTCAACAACGAGTAATTCATTATTCCAATTCAGTGTTTATACAATAAATACTAGCTATAAAATTTAACTTAAATATATATTGCAAAATCTTAATCTTTGACACTAAATATTATAATGACAGGAGATATATTATATTATACATAAACAATTTTCAGTTTATAGTTGATAAGTACATGAGCTGAAAATATATCCACACTAAAAAGAAGACCGGGGTCGCTGGCAGAGACTAAAGCGTTACCATTAAAATGTGAAAGATATTTTATCAATAACACGTCGCATACTTTTGCAAAATTATTATAAATAACAAATTGTTTGCCGTCATTTAGAGCTCATTATTGTAGCATGGATGTAGGCATTGTCTTTCATCTACCACAATTTTTTACAATTTTGTACATTAATGTTCGTAACGTCCACAGCCCGCGCACGTGCAGCGCTATTTACCACAGCCTGCGCACGTGCAGCGCTATTTACCACAGCCTGCGCACGTGCGCCGCTATTTACCACATCCAGCGCACGTGCAGCGCTATCTACCACAGCCCGCGCACGTGCAGCGCTATTTACCACAGCCCGCGCACGTGCAGCGCTATTTACCACAGCCCGCGCACGTTCAGCGCTATTTACCACAGCCCACGCAAAGCGCCGCTATTTACCACAGCCCTGTCTCTTATACACATCTAGATGTGTATAAGAGACAGCCCGTGACAGCAGCGGGGCACCCGTGACAGCAGCGGGGCACCCGTGACAGCAGCGGGGCACCCGCTGTCTCTTATACACATCTAGATGTGTATAAGAGACAGGAATAGCATTAGGGGTAGGGAAACACTTGTTGACATGGGCAGTAAGTGTTCACTCACAATTCAGGTAGGAATAGCATTAGGGGTAGGGAAACACGTGTGTTGACATGGGCAGTAAGTTTTCACTCACAATTCAGGTAGGAATAACATTACGAATAAAATGGTGCGTGTGCCATCATCAACACAGAATCACTGAGTAAATTTATTTTATTCTTTATAATATATCTTTAATTATCAATCGTCGCCTGCTCAAGCTAAGCGTTAAGAATAAACCTAGTTTAGTAAGTAGCGTATTTAAATTTAACAAATTGCCGAGAGAATTTTAGCCTCTCGTTCGCCATCTTATTCCTACCTGAATTATTGTTCAATTTCGCGGCAACAAGTGAACGAAGATCAGGACTTCCCGGCAAGTTCAATGTCATTATGTCACGTAACTCATTTGTTCACTGAAACCTCGAGCTATTTTTATACGGCTTTTCAAGGACATTAAAATTGCATCTATAACAATTCAAGTACACAATTTGTTTTCCTGTGTGTATTTTCGTATTGGAAAGTGTAAAAAACGGCAGCGGTAGCGTTCACTTTCAGACATGTGACTCTGACGCACTCTGACACGGACACGTCTGAACATAGATAAGCCCCGACCGTCACTGCTGCCGACTGCAATCTTATCTGTGCTCATACCACAGTCAATTGCCGGCGTTGTCATACCCTGAACATGTGGAATTTATGCCTTTCACAGCATATAAATATGCAATAAAGGCTCAACTGTGGAATTTGTAATTAAATCAAAGTTTTGTTCAAACTCTAATTAAAGTTTGCAAGAAATATATGGACTTTATAGAACGTCCTCAATCGTACGTCTGGGGCGCACCGTGCAAGGTTGCAGATGAGTCAGTGTCCAAGCGCCTCGTCTAACGCATTGCAGCTCAAAATTCAAATATTTTTGCACTGTAGTAAATTACTCAGCGACTATTCGATTGAAAGATCATCATTTTATCCAAATTATTCTACTTATAAGAATATTTCATGAGTATTTCATCTCTAATCTACTATATTTTTAGAAATTTAGATAATTATTCGAGCAATCTAACCTGACGTGAACGCAGCAGTTGTTAGAAGCATGAGGTGCTATTCCTGCAACGCATCCTTGCCTCCCCCCACCCCCCTTTCTAGCCACCTCCCCCCTGTCTCTTATACACATCTAGATGTGTATAAGAGACAGATTTTATTTTACCTCAAAACTGCTCAATCGGTTCTGCTCC